TTTCTTTCATGAATGGATGGATTTTCTTTAGTGGAAAGTATTCTTCTTTTGCTTTTTGATGATGACTAGCTCAAATGGTTGCGAGGCTCTTGTTTACTTGGATGTACTGCACGCATACTTTTGAACTTATCTATATGCAATATCTCATGGTTATAGACAGCTGAATTCATGCTCTCAAATTGATCAAAATCTTATTTTGATTCAGGCACGGCTCCGCAGCCGCCTGATCCTGAGCAGCCCGGATATCATGCTGAATCAGATCGAATGGATGACGATGGTTACCCAATAGTTGTCGATCTTGGCACCAGGTACGTAATGGCTTTGGAATTCTGTAATTCAAGAAAATCTCACTTTGTCCTTGACAAGAATGGTGAATAGATGAGAATGAAAATAGAGAATGCCATTATATATTATTAGAAAAATTGTTTGAGGAGATAATTTGCAAACTTTGCAATAAATGTCGCAATTTTTTGCTGATTTGGTGAATGCAATTCTGTACAAGTTACTCTGAAACCTATGAGTCATAGTCATGTTTTTATGGTATGGTTGCCTAATGAAACGAGAGAGGAGTAAGGCAAAACGAAGTGACCTTGTATTCTGATTTATTTCCAACAATCTATCGGTTTTATTCAATGCCCTGTACTACACTCTTTCATTGTACCATAATGATAATACAAGCCTAACTTAAATGTTTTTGCCTAGCGCATCTTAAAATGATCCATTATTTTCTAGATTTCATGAGACTACAATGCACGCTACATACCTAACATTCTCATAATTACATTCATTGGGCAGTTTCATTTCCACTTCACGGTACTTTGTGAAACGCACCCTAAATCTTACATTATTTACCGTCAGTATTGCGAATTGCGGGCTTCGTAGCCTTTGCCTCTGTAGCGCTTAAAACAGTTAGGGCGCAGGACGAATGGGTTTAGGATTGTTATTATTGATGAGACCTTACACCCATCTTTATTGTTGAAAGTACCAAAGAAACTTGTTAGTACCTCAACCACATAAAACCAAAGTTTAGAAACAAGAGTTGTCTTCAACAAAGAGGAAATGGGTTTAGTGGTATTGTTCTTGAAGTTTCATATGTGCACGTTTGACCTTAATCGCTGCAATAGCATCTGTTCAATAGCCTTTAGTGAAAGGCAATCACGTTTGGCTCGACAGCGTCTCATCGATGAAGTCATTCAAGAACAGGCTTTTGACCAGGTAGCTTGTTCACTTTTGTAAAATAGATCGATTTTCAATAAGGAGTAGTATTTGAGGATGTAATTGAAGAACTGGAGCGTGCAAATATGCGTCGAGTGTTTGAGGATATTGAGGATGCGGAAGGCGAACACTCGGCACAAAGACGTCGCGCCACCGCGAATGGCATTGTGTATGTACTTTCAAGTTCTCTGGATCGATGTTTTGTTACATTTTCTAGTTTATGCTATTCCTGAAGATATGGGTTGAAAGGATTCATCAAATAAAGTAACGTTCAGGAAAGGGCTATCCTTTCAAAAATAGTACTGTCAATGTTCCCGTTCATCCGCGGCTAAAACTCGTTTCTAACGGAACCATCAGATACAACAATTTTGATGCTGATCCCGCAGTAGCGAATAATTGAGCGAGAACTGGTTTCGACATAAATTACTGTCCATTGTTGCTTTTTTTTCAGTAGCGGTGAAGATTCACTGACACCACAGGTGGAAGCAGCGATTGCTAACTATATGGTTCGAAAGTATGCAGGTAAGATATTTGCTGTCATGCGGTAAGACGATGATTGATTTATACCCGAAGAAACAGAACTTGCAGAAATTTTGGGTGGTACTACTTCTTTCTTTAGACCCTGCAAACAATAATGCAAACGCTGCCATGCACATGGAGGAACAAGATGAGCCGGGTCCCTCAGTGCCCATAGACAGATCAAATAGACCAGCAAATATCCAACCAGGTATCCACTAACTTAATCACCATAGAATAGTTCATCTGGAAGGTGTGTACCTTTCCAGCAAGTCGCAATACTTCCGATCATCCAGCAAACAATCTGATTGCAATAGGACGTCGTGCTAGTCCAATCGCTGAACACAGAACTAACAGAGCTTACGGAGGTAAATCCTGTTCAAAGAAGACATGAAAATTAACCTCATAGCTCTGTCCCTCCTTCCCCGAAAAAAAA